TCAGTGACTTGACCAGTAACCAGTGGTGGTTCTCGTCCATGTTTTGGTCGGGGTTATGTGCATGATGGGCGCGGACATGGTGGTAGATATCGCATGCTTCCTTCGGATACCTGGCGCCAGTTGACGCATATCGCACAGTGTCCCCAAGCAGTGGGGCTGAGTAGTTGTAGTACGTCCCAAAAAATGAAAACGAGTCGTCGTCGCACCTCTCAGGAAATGGGAGCGAGTAGTCAAGGTCCGAAGTATCTCCCAAGAAGTGGGACCGAGCCGGGGTCTACGGGCGCATAACGTGTCCCTCCTGCTCGCCGTTGGTCGACTGGCAACGGTTGGCATGATTGTGTGTTCAGATGTTCACACTACCTCAATATGCTGCGGTTGGGCAAACCAGCGCTGCGCGCCAAGGCAGTCCTGCACAGCGGCCGTTCGCGATTCGCTTGGTCGCCCAACGTTGGCTGGTCATAGAGCTCAGGATGATGAAGCTCAGCCCCGTGCGCAATGGCCGCATTTGGGCCAGCGCTCTCAGGTTCGCGTCGGGTTGGGCCTTGTTGACCGCGTGTGCGCAGGTGCGCGTGCACAACAGCGCTGAACTAACACGATCTCGCATTTGTGCGCCAACCGTGTGAGCAGACACTTGTCCTGCGTGTTGGCCTGGTCGTGATATGCGGGCCAGCATGCCGAGAGTTCATGCAGCGTGACGTTGTTGTGTGCGCAGCCGCGCCGTTGGCCTGGCGCGAACGCGCGCGCTGTGAAAGCGGTTCGGTTGGTGGTTGTGATTCAACCTTGAACCTCGCATGTGGTTTCAAAGTACTCGTGTGGCACCAATCGTGGTCGTCGTTGCTACATTCGTCGTCGTGGTAGCTTTCGTGGTGCTCGTACGTTTGTCGATGTACCGTCGATGTACTCGTTGTGATGGCATACGTCGTGCGGTGCCACTGCTAATTGTGGGACTCTCTGGAGAAATCCCCCTTCTACGCTTGGCTACATCTGCTGGGGCGGTGCCATCTGATGGATCAGCCCCCCGTGGTGGGGCAGCCAGTGGTGGCGGCTCTCTTGGCCGGGTGCGTTGGAAACCTGTGCTGAGTGGCAGCACACCAGGTAACCGCCGGAAGCCTCGTAGAGCTCCGTTCTCGCGCGGCGCTGATCGGTCGAGTTTAGTCCAGAAAACGGATTCCATCACCTCAAAAATAGCAGAGTATGACTAGTTGTTTGGCGTCTACGCTCACAACAGACCCAAGCCAAGCGTCTAGATACTTCAGACTAGCCCCTATTGTTGCGTGGTCGCTGGTGGCGGTTCCCAAGCAGAGCCTGCCGGCGGCCCGCGCCGACCGAGGGCGCAGGCCCCGTGGCGGAGTGGCCGCTGGCAGCGGCTCCTGGGCAGGACGTGCGGGGAGCCCGTGCCCGACGACGGCGCGGGCCCCGGTCGTGGTGTAGCCGCCAGGCGCAGCGTGCCAGAAACCCGGCACGCACCCTGGACCTGTTGGCCTGACCCGCGCTGGTCAGAGAGGGAGGGAGGAGGAGGAGATGAGGGGAGAGAGGAGAGAGCAGGAGAAGGAGGAGGAGGAGGAGGAGGAGGAGGAGGAGGAGGAGGAGGAGGAGGAGGAGGAGGAGGAGGAGGAGGAGAGGGGAGAGGAGGAGGGGAGGGAGGGAGGGAGGGAGGGAGGGAGGGAGGGAGGGAGGGAGGGAAGACGACTGGCGCGCCGCGGCGGGCACGGCTGGTCGCTCCCGCTGCCGTCGCCACGGGCCTGCCGTAACATTCGGTGCACCGCACCAGCCCGGGCAATCCGCGGCAGGATAGGCCGTGCGTGCAGCTGCCGCCGCGCCCGCTGCCGGGGCCGCTGCCACGGGCGCCCACTTCCACCCATAAGCAGGACGATGAGCAGCACGGACGGCCGACGAGGTGACATCGGCAAATGCCGGTATGGAGCGGTCCTTGAGCGGGTGGTGCGTCTTAGTCGGGAAGTTGGCAAGCCGCACTGCAACCCAATCTATCCCCACCACTTCCAGAAGATGGGCCAAATCATGGTGGCGAGGTCAGCGTCGGATGTCCAACGTAAAGTTCACGATCTTAGAACAACTCTGGCAATTCAGCACGGAGTCGGTATCCGTAAGGCCGTCGGCCTTCGGAGTACGGAATCCGATGAGACGTCATCCAAGCACCTGCCATCGATCTGATGAAAACCATCGCGACACATGCGGGGGCAGCTCGCAACACGCCACGACGTCCCTGCCAATCCACCGCAGTGATGTCGTCGACACCAGCCTCCGCCGGCGAAGCCCGCGGCGGGAGCAAAAGGTGCGCTCCAAGAGATGGCAACACTGTTTGGGCTCAGGGCCCTCGGAGTCGGCCACGCATGATGTGATTATTCAGAGGGGGTGGGGGGGGGGGGGGGCGAGTCGAGGCAGCGGCAGGTGGCCCTCGGGGGGGCCCTGCGTCGCCACATCGGCAAACGCTGATGATGCAGTTCGTGCAATCGGCGGGGGGCGATGATGGCTCTGCGGCTGGCCCTGGGGAGGACACGCGAGGGGGCGGGCCCTTCAGCAGGCGGCGGGGCTTCGGGGAAGGCTTCGACTACTACTACTACTACTACTACTACTACTACTACTACTACTACTACTACTACTATTACTACTACTACTACTACTACTACTACTACTACTACTACTACTACTACTACTACTACTACTACTACTACTACTACTACTACTATACTACTACTACTACTACTACTACTACTACTACTAACTACTACTACTACTACTACTACTACGACTACGACTACGACTACGACTACGACTACGACTACGACTACGACTACGACTACTACGACTACTACGACGACTACTGCATTCTGAGAAGGCCCGCCTCCTCTGACTTCCCCCATGGCCTCGCCGCCGCAGAGAGGGAAGGGAGGGAGGACTGGCAGGATGAAGAAGCGCAGGAGTATGAGGCGGGTGGGGAGGGGGGAGGAGGGGAATGGGGAGGAGGGGGGGGGCGGGGAGGTCGGGGAGGAGTGGGCGGAGGAGATGAGGAGATGTAGCGCACTTCGTGGGAGCGAGGATAGGGGAACGAAGAATGACATAAACACAACAACTCGGAGGTCCGCGCGGATTTCTCGGATCCGCGCTGGACCCCCCTCCCTGGCGCGCGGAGCGCGCCAGGGGCGGCGCCAGAAGAGCCGCCAGGGGGGTCCAGCGCGGATCCGAGAAATCCGCGCGGACCTCCGAATTTTTGTGCTTATGTCATTCTTCGTTCCCCTGTCCGCGCTCCCGCGAGCTGCGGCGCTGTCTCCGCCAGCGTGGACTCGCGGACGGAGGACGGGCGACATACTCGGAAGCTGGGCGAGAACTGGCAAATCCGTGGCGGCTAAAACGATCTGCCCGGAAGAAAAACACACATTCCCGGAATAAAGCTCAGCGCACTAAATAGTAAGCAGGCTGCTTCCCGGAAGAGAACAATTTCCCAGAGCTCCGTTTTAGCAGCCACGGGTTTGCCAGCCTTCGCCTGGCTTCTGACATACAGCGGGGGCCCGACCACAAGAAACCTTCCACAAGAAACCCAAGCCTGAGACCCCAGGACGTCCATTGATTTCTGGTGTGGGAACGTCACGCTCTCCAGAGCAAAACCATCGAAAACCACGAAACGCAGGGCACCCTGGAGGCAAGCAGGGTGTTTCTTGGCATGGGCCCCCACTGTACGGTGGGAGCGGCAGATGGTGCGAGAGCTCCATGCGACACAGACGTCGGCAACTCCGTCGCTCTTGATTGCACACCACGTGTGCGTGTGTGCTGTCGTGCGCCACGCCTCTGTGCACCCGCAGCCGTGGCCCAGAAAACGTTGGGGCCGCGCGGTGCCCTTTCTCACTGCGCCCCTTCGCCCGTCGGCACCCATACTTCGGTTCACTGGGTTTTTTGTTTGATAGGGCCTCCCTCCTCCTCCTCCTCCTCCTCCTCCTCCTCCTCCTCCTCCTCCTCCTCCTCCTGGGTGATGGGGGTGGGGTGGTTGGGTCGTGTGGTGTGAGCGAGGTCGGGCGGGTGGATGAGGACTTCCCATCGTTGCGCGTGTCGTGACCAGAAGCTTGTGACGCCAGCTGCTTCGCGTCAGTGTATACCACCTGCGCGTGCACGTGCAATTCATTCATTATGCCCTGAACGCAAATCTGGAAAGAAGGGTGTTATTGTCCACTGGACAGCCCGCATGCCACCAATGGCAGAGAGCCCGATAACAATGACAAGGATTCCTCTTCTTGGCACCATGGGGTCACACACGTGCCCCAGCTGTACGTACTCTCCAACGGCCTTCCGCAAGCCACAGCCAACCGCTTTGAAAGCCTACTGGGAGGTCTATCTCCAGCTTTCTCGAGGCATGGCCGTTATGTTGGATACTTATGGGCAGTTTGATATTCCCCCCGTCGGTGATTTCCTTCTCAACCGCTGGGCTATCTCGAAGTATGACCGAGACCAATGTTGGGGTCGCTGAAAATCTTGGCGGCGTCCGAGTAAGGTGCGTACTCGAATCAGCCTATAGTGGCCACGGACCCCCCCCATCCCCACACATAGAGATCCCTGTATATCACTTGTGGAAGAACAATTCGGCCATGCTCGCGACTTCAAGGATGTGGTCTACTATCAAGAAAAGCGGATGGGCAACTCCGCCCTGAGCCGTGGGTTTGGGCGGCAGGCCAACTGCAGCCGACCCCCTCAATTCTGAAGATGGTCACCTCATTTTCAAAGGTGTTTTAGGTACCCTGAGAGGCTGGACAGTCGGCACACACGAGACAACAACATCTTGCTATTAGGACTTTTGGGGCACGCTCTTCGTCGAGCTTCTGAGGGCCCTCCGGGCCATTGGGGGACAAGAGATTTCCGCGGAGCACCTGGCGGCAGGCCGATTTCGTATTCGATGTGCCTGCTGCCACGCACTTCGGCAATACTCCTCCTCCTCCTCCTCCTCCTCCTCCTCCTCCTCCTCCTCCTCCTCCTCCTCCCGCTCCCCCCGTGGCCTCGAAGGCGCCCGCGCCGCCGTCGAAGGTGCCCGCGCCGCCGTCGAAGGCGCCCGCGCCGCCGTCGAAAGCGCCCGCGCCGCCGTCGAAAGCGCTCGGGGCGGCCGCCGGGACGGCGTCGGGTTCGCCCGGGGCGCCTAGCGAGGGAGGGAGGGAGGGAGGGAGGGAGGGAGCTAGGGAGGGAGGGAGGGGGGGAGGGAGGGAGGGAGTAGGGAGCTAGGGAGGGAGTAGGGAGCTAGGGAGGGATGGAGAGGGGGCGGCGGAGATAGGGAGGTAGGCGACGAAAAGAAACGGGTCCTACGCGAGATGGCACAGCCACCTTGCGCCGTGGCTTGCTCGGGCCGCCATCGTGACACGCCACATTGGAGACGAGGGCGCTTACCCTCGACCTTACGCGGGCAGCTGACTCGCCGATGTCGGCGCAGTCGATCCCGTTTTCTCTTGCCGCCCAGATGGAGATAGGGAGGGAGGGAGCAGTAGCAGTAGCAGTAGCAGTGGCTGTGGTGGTAGTGGTAATAGTCCCACCAGCCCTGTAGGGCGTGAGTGGTTTAGGGCGCTTCCTCTTCAAACCCCCTTCTTCCCCTTCGGGGCGGCGTTTGCCATTGTTCTCTATGAACAAACACCCCATCCCCCACCTGATCAGCAGCCAGCCTGGACCCATGCGGGCACCCATGCGCCCCCCCACCATTCGTGCAACAGCAACAACAACAATGCAACTCCGTCTTTGCCTCCAAATCTAGAGCATGCGCGGGCGCCCCGCGACCTTCTGCAGCGGGTTTTGGCAGGGACGGCGGGGAGGCCAGCATATTCCTTGCTGCGCGCAGGACAACACCCTCCCATCATCCTTTGCAGACAACAGTATAAAGTACACTTTGCAACAACATCTGGATCATGCGCGGACGCCCCGTGATCAATTTACATCTGCTTTTGATGGGGACGGCGGGGGGGTGGGGGCAGCGTATGGTCTGCTGTGTGCAATGCCAACACCCACCAACCATCCCTTGCAACAAACCATGCGGTGGACACTTTGCACCAACATCTGGATCATGCTCGGACGCCTCGCGCTTACACTGCAATGGATTGCAAGGATGGCGGGGGTGCCGGCCTACTGCCTGCAGTGTGCAGGCCCAGTACCCCTTTCAAACGGCAACAGAAGACGGCCTCATGTTTGCCATGGGCGGCGGGGAGGAGGGGGGCGGCATACTGCGTGATGTGCGCAGGCCCACCAAACAAATGCAGAGCGACCGTGGGCGCACGCCCGCACACAACAGGCCCGCCGTCGCTCCGCATCGGTTTCTGGCAGGGACGGTGGGAGGGTCAACCTGTTGCCAGACAAGGCGCACGTGGTGCGCGTGGCGCAACTGGCACGTGCGGCGCACCTTGCGACTTCGCGCGTCTGGCTGGCGTCTGCATTGGCTCCCGACGGCTGTCGATGGCGGCCGCTGTCCGTGCCGAGACTCGGGTGTTGCTTTCTGTGTTGGGAGGGCGGGTTGGGACTGAGCGAGACGGGCGGAGCCTCCCAAAAGGAAGCCACCAAGAAGCCACGAATCCTGAGAGCACCTGTGGGAAACCAAATCTGTTTGCCTTCTCGCCTTCGTCGATTCCGGCGGCCCTCCGATGCCTCGAGATGGCTCCAAAACGGCCCAAGAGAACCCTAAGAGGAGCCCAAGAGGGTCCCACGACGGCCCCAAGAGCGCTCGAAGAGGCGACTTCACGGGCTCTAGAGGGGGACCCTCCCTTCTTCGATCGAATTCCTTCGAGATGGTCTCAAGATGCATGCGGCTCACCCGAAGCACCCAAGAAACTCCAAGAGACTCCCAGAACCGCCAAACGGCTGCCACGACGCCCCAAGAATACTCCAACAAAACTCTCAAGAGAAATCCGACGAGATCCCTGGAAGCATCCAAGAGGCCTGTGGCCTTTCTGCTCGCCCTCCTCCTCCTCCTCCTCCTCCTCCTCCTCCTCCTCCTCTTCCTCATCCACCTGCATCTCAATCACATCTCTGATCAGGGCAACTCGCCTGGGCATCGTTTCTGGATGGGCTGGTGGGGTCACGCTAAGCGTCTACAGCAACAAGAGTAGTAGAAGGAGTACTAGTAGTAGAAATAATAGTGTAGTAGTATTGGTAGTAGTAGTAGTAGTAGTAGTAGTAGTAGTAGTAGTAGTAGTAGTCGTAGTAGTTGTCGTAGTAGTAGTAGTAGTAGTAGTAGTAGTAGTAGTAGTAGTCGTAGTAGCAGTAGTAGTAGTAGTAGTAGTAGTAGTCGTAGTGGTGGTGGTAGTAGTAGTTTAGTAGTAGTAGTAGTAGTAGTAGTAGTAGTAGTAGTAGTAGTCGTAATAGTAGTAGTAGTAGTAGTAGTAG